GAAGTGAAAAGATATTGAAGATTTTTAGACATACAAAAGCTGAAGAAATTCATCACCAGCAGATACGTATCAAAAAAAAAAAATGTTAGAAGTCTTTCAGACAGGAAGAATGACAGCTGACAGGACTAGGTGTCCACACGAGGAATGAAGAACATCAGCAATGTCCACCATCTGGGTGTCTATTATAACTACCGTACACACACACACACACAGTAAAAACAATAGAGATAGCTAATGAACATATTTTAAAATAAAGTGATTAGTATATAGTTAGGCAATAATAAGAACAACAGCTACGTTCTTTTCTTCCTTAGCTTAACGATTTCCATGTCTGGATTCCAAAATATACTTTTAAGATTTATAGATATCAAGTTTCTAATTTTTAGTATCTTTGTTTTACAACTATTTTTGGTTAGCGACATTTCTATTTTGGACAACCTGTTTTAACTGTGGTGACCTTATTCTTCAATATACAGATTTTTCTTTTGAAAGGCAATACTTAAATGAAAATTGTGTTTCCACGTGCCATAACTACCAATCACAACTAATGGGTTTACCTGTCCCTCAGACAAACCTGCAGGAAATTGAACACCAGGCCTTGTAACGCATCAGGCCACAACTTCTCATTGCCTTGGACCCCCTGAAGTGAACCCCCTGTTCTAAGTATCTGTCAGGTCCACAGAATTAAGTATCCAACTCATAAAGTGAGTAACTTTGATTTATTCCTCCAGAAGGAAGCTTAACTTTTCCCTTTAGCATGTTTTAATGAAATCTCATCCATTCTGCATGCTCAGGCAATGAGTAATTTCTTACAAGTCAGTGTTTTGGAAAGCTAAAAAATTTCAACAAATCTTATTTTATTGCATTTTACAAGTCCACTAAATTTCTCCCAACTTCCTAAATAATTATACCCTGTTCTAAAGATGATATCCCTTCACTGTTTTATTAAAAATGAGCCATTAAATGGTGCCTCATAGAGCTTGACCTACCTTAATGTGACAATTTGATGCCTAGGAATAGTTTGTACATGTTAATGACTCCCTTTGCCTCCCCTAGAAACAAAGTCTTTGTAAAAATCAACATCCTTCCATCAATGCCCCTAAATGTCACCAACATTCTATTGTATTTATTTGGGCTGGCTGCTATTCAGTACCATTTTCCTTTGCTCATCATCTATTGTTTCTTGGACTTTAAGATTTGAACAATAAGACTAAATTTTATAGACATTATTGAGTAATGTTGATCCAAAGAGAAGTCCAAAATATCCAAATGTTAAAAGTCCACAAAACAAAACAAAGAAATAGTAAATAGTATATTCTATTATCCTACTTAAATTGGGAAAATGTAAATATTCAATTTATATATACAAAAAGGAATGAAAGGTAATGTAGCCAATTAAGATTGGTCGTAAGTAAAGGCACGTGAAGAAACTGTAACTCCACAGAAAAAAACAAAAAGTCATTAAGCATCAAAAGGAATGCTCATCTTCACTAACAAAGCAATGAGGACAGGGGCTTCTACTGCTCTACAGTTTGAAATAAAAGTACAATTATGTATTATCAAATAAATTTTTCTGTGTATTTTCAAAAGTATCAAAGTGCTTCCTAAAAGGTAAAATTACAGTAATTAACTATCACCTTAATAAGACAAGTATCATAAATTGTTCATATAAATATTCTAACCTCAGTGATGAATTTTTTAACTTTGTGTGTGTGTGTGCACGCCTAACGTTGTGAATGCTTCTTCTCTATACCATTATTGTTCCATTTTTTACACTTACATCTTCCATCTATTTGGAATTCATTCTAGTAGGGGAGTTCCTTACTTTCTCCCAGTGGTTAACCACCTGCCCCAATACCATGTACTGAAGTCATATCCAATTCTACCTATCCCCCACTTCCTTTCTCCCATCCCTCAGTCATCAAGGCCACGGTTATGTTTCACCTGAATCAGTTCTGAAAGCTCCCAACTGGCCTCCCGCCACTCAGCACCCTACTCCTCCCACCTTACCACTACTGCTCCACCCCAGGTAACCGTTCTGCACATTCCATACAGAGTGATGATGTCACTGGCCTATTTAAATGCTTTCAATGACTTTCCACTGACCTCAGGATAAAATCCAGGCTTTTAAAAAAGCTCACAGTTAGGGTGACCACATAATTTATTATCTAAAGAAACAACAGAAATGGAAAAGGGGCTATTAATAATAATGCTGGGACTACAGGCGTACACCAGACCATCCTGGGAAAACCTGGATGCATGTCCCCACCCCCATCAGAGGCTCTGCTGCCTAGCTCTAAACTTCTGCCCCTCCTTCTTCACAAAGCACTGTTCAGCCAAACTGAACTTATCTCACATCCTCAAACTTGACGTTATTTTCTTTATGAAATTTCATATACTATGCACCTTATTCAAAACATTTATTTTTCACCTCCCACCCACAGCTCCTCTCTCTCCTCTTCCCCCTTCAGCTACCTCACACTCAACCTTCACAACTCAACTTATAGGCCACATCCTCTGGGAAGCTTCCTTCCACCACTTCTCTGTGTTCCACATTATTTCCACATGCTCCCTTTTTTTACCCAACGTTTCTCCTATCACCTTCATTAACATATGTATCTTCTATAAGTTGTACCTATAGGGCCTATTAAATAAATATACAGGAATCGACGAATGAAGATCTGACTCCAATGACACAAATTACCAGAGAAATTGATAAAATTTTTCAAAAAGAGCTGGCCAACCTGTCAGATACATGTATTACCTTCCCACAGTGGCTACATAATTGGTTGCATTTATCTGTTTTGGTTTAAAAAGTCATTATTACTTTGGATGTGCATCTCACACTTCTTTTCAGTATTGTGAAGTGAATATTTAAAATGAAACAATACCTTTAAAAGTAAATAATTACTTACTTTATCCACTAAAAAATGGTAATATTCAAATTACTACCCCAAAATTCATTTTTCATATTTTAACAGCTAGTTCAACTAACAATTCATGTATACATATCATATTCTACTGTACCTTCCTTCATCTTTAAGAAAAAAGCAAATATTTTAGTTTATTTCCAAGAAAAAAAGGAGTTGTTGATTATTTCCTAAAATAGTCTGTTTTGGAGCTACCCTTCTTAAAGTAATATCTATAAAACTGACATTCAAACTGATAATGATTAATATAAATGGTTTCAAGGAAAATAATGTTAAATGTTAGGTCAAAAAGGGAAGAAAGTTATTTTCTTCCCAAGACTGGCTAACTAGAAAAAGGCAGCAACATCACATGCTTAGAACCTTACTCACTTTCTACAAATTATTTCACACTGACTTCTAAGCCATTCTTTAGTCGCATTGCTATGTAAATATGAAAAATAAAATCATTCATCTAAATTATTTCTGCCACAATAAAGTTTAAGTATTTAGTTATAAAGTTTTTAACCAATGGTAGAGCATAATACTATCTAAAATCATAACTCCCTCTCCAGCCAAATACCAGTTTCAACTCAGTATAATCCACTTCTTATTAGCTATTTCATTTTAAACACCCTTGAATAGAAAACCAAAATCATGTTTGGTTTGGTTTTGGTCAGAAATTTCTAATGCTCAAGCCAAGATAATACTTCTCAATAAGAAGTGTAACAGGCTTCTCATAGCTAACCTTACCATGCTAAGGTTAATATTAACTTCTTGAGTGCAGTCTAAGACCAAATGAAGAAATTTTAAGGGCATTATCTGTCTATGAGTCTCCTCTGAGCTCTTAACCTTTCCACACACTTTGCCTTAGTATCAAGCAACTATTCTGCTCTAGGAAGATCCTTATTCTTTTTTGTTTATTTTTTTATTGTATTTTCTCCATTACCATTTAGTCCCCTTATATCCCCCTCCCCACCGCAATCACCACTCTATTGCCCATGAGTCCTTTTAGCTCAATCCCTCCTTATTTTTTAGAACTAAAATTTAACCCATGTTTTCTGTACCATTACAAGTCAATTCCTCTCATATTAGTAATCATGGTCCATTTACCCTCGATAGCAATATATAATATATTCATGTATTTATACTTACCTTCAGGGATTAGAAACTATAATCCATACATGTCTTCACTTATCTTTTACTTAATACTATCTTTCCCTTTTTTAAAATATTAATTTAAGACATATATAGCACACTTCCAATGGCGATTCTTCAAGAAAGTTAGAAACCAGTTTTTGCATCAAGGCAGAAATTTTCACCCAATAGTCTATATATGCTTACCGGAAATCATCATAGCTAATCATTTTCATCACAGAATTATGTAATCCATATGTAATTTTGACTCATGAACAATATTTTACATACAAATGCAGTAAAGTCAAATCTAAAATGTAAAGGTTTTTAGGATTTAGTACACTTAAGACCTTCGAATTAACAGAAAAATTTCAAAATACTTTCTGTTGACTAATCACATTTAAAGGAGAAATACTAAGTGATAAAATGGGAGGAAAATGGCAAGGAGAATTAAAACCCATCTACCAATATTTTGGTGGTGTTCGCACTAGAAAATTGCTCTGTTCTGGAAAATGGCAGGGTATATATACTAAAACATGAATTGGTAAAGAGGTAAGAGGGGGAAGTGGGAAGAAGCAATGTTAAAATGATCTTACGGAAAAACAGATACAGTTGTCAAATATATTGGAATACCATTAACGAGCCAAGTAAAATGAACATAAACCAAATCACTACTAGGTTCTGTATTCTGAACTCATAACTTTATTTAAAAACAAAATAACCTTGAAGCCATATTGTATCTGCCAACTTAAATTCAGTTTCTCAATTAAAGTATTTTATAATTTGTCACAAGATTATCATCAAAAGCTCAACTATTTTTCCTTAATGAGATTTAGACTATTAAAATACTATGCACTTATTGAAAATAAATTTCCCTGAAAATTGAAGCTCAAAACAAAATTCATCTGAAGTCTCAGAAAGTGGCCTTTTTGGAAGATATTTATTGCATGTCCTCACCTTCACATTGGGTTTTGACAGTAGTTTCAACAGCTCTCTGATCTCACTATTTAATGGCTTGTTCTGAAGCTCTTCAGCCAGCTGCAAGAGAAATCACATTGACATAAAGAACATTTAATAAGAGCATTATGTAGTTCCATGTGTGACCACTAAAAATCTACCTTGCGACTATCCAGTGATTAAGAACAAGTCGGTATGCAAGAAAACAGACTATCAATCACTGCTCTTCTTTTCAGGCCCTTGGTAGCCTAGATCCCAGCCCAGCCTCTTGACTAAGCACAGCCCAAGGAATCACATCAGCCAGATCACTTGATTTATTGCAATGAGGGCGAACCCCAGCACTTCATCTACCAAATGGCCTTTTGCATGCAGACAAAGGACTACTTGTGAAAAGGACTGGATTAAACTTTGACACTATTTAAAAAAAAAAAGAAAAAAAGAAAAAAAGGAAGAAAGAAAGAAAAAGCTCTGAATGAGGTGGTGAAATCCACAGGGTTTCCAAAAACCCACAGTAGCTTGCTGTTTAGAGCTTAGGTAAAAAGAACTAGAATGCTTCTAACAAGGCAAAGGTCCAAACCTTATATTATGTTTATCTACGCAGACTAAGGAGTCTGTTAAATATAAACCAGGTTAACCATAAAATGACTTATAATAGTTTGACTACTACTCCAGTACCAAAAATGCTGAGTGTATTCTACTAAAATGATCAAGAATCCCCAACTGGGCCCTGGCTGAGTAGTTCAGGGAGCGTCACACTGATGCAACAAGGTTGTGCATTGGATCCCTGGTCAGGGCACGTGCATGAATCAACCAACGAATGCATAAAGGGGTGGAAAAACAGATGTCTGTCTGTCTCTCTCTGTCTCTCTCTCCACCTTTTCTCTCTCTGTAAAGTCAATAAACTTAAAAAAAAAAATCCCATTTGCTGGTTCTAGCTAAAGCAAGGACTAGAGCTTTGAACCTGCCTCATGTTCTTCATTAAGAGATCTTCCCATGAAAATTTCAATTTTAGGCTATGGGAAGGATCATATAACTTTCATATGAAGAAAAGCAAGACAAATAGAAAAAAGAGGATTAGAATTATGAAATATGCAATACAGAATTCAAAGTATGTACATATATTTTCATTTAAAAAACATTCTTAAAACATTGCATAAAATTTGCCCCTATTATTTATACTACACTATACAAATAATTGTTTTTATCTCTGGAAAAGGACTTTTCTCTAAACAAAAAATGAAATAGAAATTATACACAAAAAATTAAAATTTGATAAAATTGTTATATTCCTTGATTACATTTTAAAAGGTGCTGTTATATTTTTTAAGGTAACATTTTTACAGAATTAAGTTATAAAACAATGCAAATGGCTCTTTGCACTTATTGGTCATGATATTTTTTAACATTTCAGTACATTGCTCTGATGAATTACGAAATGCTGTTTTACCATATTTACATATTAGTTGCTAATTTTTTTAAAAAAGCAATATTATCATGATATAATTGGGCCTCAATTACATTGGTTTATAAACAAATATTTCCCCAAAGCTTCAATTCTAAATTTTTTTTTAATTTAACTTTCTCAAGTGACAATTGAAGCTTTTTGTAGAATTATATGTACACTTTTGTTCACCTTCCCTTTAAAAGTTTTGGTTTTATAATTCAGAAGTAAACTTCCTTATAAAATACATACACTGAAACATCCTTGTAATTTGTCATTTCTATAGAGAAAAATGGAAGTAAAAGTGTTTGGGAACTAAACAACTTGGAGATTTATTACACATGCTTTAATTTCTAAATTAGAATAAAAAATATATCAAAGAAAATCAACTTCTGAAAATGGCCATTTTCTTGATACTTATGGCTCTGATATTTTACTAAACTGAATTAAAATAGGTTTTAACATAACAAAGTAAAAACTTAAAAAGCAACAAATTACCTTCAGGAGGTCACTAAAACCAACCTTCACACGAAACATATTTCTCGTCTAGCTTGGTGTCCCTTATAGTTTACCCAGGTGTGCTCTCAATTCATCCGAGTCCGAAAGTTAACAGTAAGAAACAGCAAGTTGGTTCCCTACTCCAGATTGAAAATAAAATTATAGCTACAGGAAATTAACTACTCCATCAATGCCAACTGCTTCTAAAATTTATTTTTTGGTTATGAAGGTAATTTGGAAAGGCCTAATACCCATAAATCATGACTATGCTTTATAATCCATTTTAAAAACAATCCTGTCTTTTTATGTATTTTATATGCCTCATTCCTATACTAGTATCTGTCATTTTTTAGTACTGTCAGCAATAGAGCTATCTCATTTGTCTTTATTTCTCCAAAGCATTCCTCTTGTCTGTGACTTTCTGCATGCTCTAATAGCTGACAGCTTCTCTCTCCCCTAGAGGATTAGACTAAAATTTCTATTACGTAGTTGCCAAGGCAGAACAAGAGGGTATCTACATGCAAAATTTTTATAACAGGAGAGTGAAAATCAGCATAGTATCAGTGTAAACTCTGTGATGACAGGCCTTTTGGAAACATTTGCAACTTCTTCAGGTTTTCACTCATAGTATCGCGCACCTCTGTCTGCACCAGGGGTGAGTTCTGCGGAGGCTATGCCTGTGGGAGACCTGCCCCGGTGATCTCAGAAAGGCACACTTACATCGTCAGCCAGGGCGGCTGCGCCGTGAAGGATAGGCACAGGGTTCTGCTTCTCATAGTAGTGTAGTTTTTCATGAATCTGGAAGAAAGGCAAATGAATATAAGTTTAACTGCTAGCAAACAATCTGATATATTTAACTATTTTTATCACTGGAAACAGAAACCAATCAATGAACATTCTAAATAAAAATTATGTGTATATAAACCTATAAATGACAAATACATATGCATAATTCATCTGTGACTATGGTCCAGTGTTCATAACATGAAGTCAAACAGAAAAAAAAATCATCATCAAATAAAACCCACATTGAAACTACACCTTGGGTCGTCTTTTGTTTTTGGCCCCAACAAACATTAGCATAATAAAACCTTTAGGTTCTTAAACATATTGCTTCAATACTTCAAGCATTGGTTGTAGTTTATATTCCTGCTAAAGACATAACTTATGATTAAAGCAAAGCAGTAAACCTGCAGCCGCATCCCGACAGTTGGGTTTGCAATCACCGCTGAGTGCGGCAGCCGGTGCCGTGTGGGTTCCTGAGTCCAGCACTCCAGGAACACACTGTGCTTCTACTTAGTATTTTTTTTCCAAATTGCCAACTTCACCCTGAAAATTCAAATTTCTAAGAAATGAAGGGATTTCTCATAATTTGAAATACTTCTCATAACTAGTTAGTGTAAATAAAATAATTTTCCATCTGGGAAAATTATATTAATAAATACAAATAATTTGGCACTTAATTTCCCATCATCATCATACAAGAAGCACTAAGGCAAGTACTTTAAATCATTATAAGACCAACAGAGTTCTTTTAAGATTCTAGTATTATAGCTAAGAAATGAAAGATGCTTTGACACATTCAAAGCTGTCGGCCATTGTTTAATCTATTTCAGCTCTTACAGAGCTTCGCTTAAAAAAATTTTACACATGAAAACTTACTTTAGCCTCTTATTTATAGTTGACCAAACTGCCCCCACTATACTATATGAAAAACAGTTGCACTTCACAAATTTTCTGTTTCTAGTAGGTATCAAGTGATACACTCTTTAAATATAGTCAAAGCTAACCAAACTCCCTTATAAAAAGTCTGGAAGATAGATTTTATTTTGAATTCCCTGATGCTCTTGCTCAGAGAGGATTCTATTACTTTTTTGGCAACCTGGTACATAATGCAAAGCGTCAGCAAAATAATTTTGACACTTATGATATTACCAGAGTAATCAGGGTGACACTTTTACTTAATATCTTGGAACTATTAAACACTTATTACATCTGAGTAATAAACACATTTTCAAGAACACAGACTCATAAAAAGTTTTGGATTTGAAAAACTATTACAGAATAATTTAAAACCAATTATCCTAAGGGCTAAATTAATTTTCTTTAATGATCAAGAATTAGATTATCTCAACATATACTATCACTGAGCTTACCCTCTCATACACACTTACAACTTTATTGCAACTATTTGATTAAATGTCTGCTTTCCTTCAATAATAAATATAGAGGCTTATATGTATTAGATACCATGTGCCTGTATTACCTACATAATAGTTATCAGCACTATTAGTAATATAGTCTTCAATGAGGGCCATATCTCAGTCACTTAACCTTCAAGAACACTAATGGTAGACAGCACCAGCATCCCATTTTATAAACAGGTAGACAGGACAGAAATGAGTTGCTGTGGCCCCACAAACAGTAAATGGCACAGCTGCGATTTCAAACTCAGGGCATTTGGCTCAACATCAGAGCTCTTGATCACGCTGCTTGCCTGCCTCTCAGACTCATCTGTGTTCTCCACTGACCTTGCTCACTGCTGAATGAATGTGACCTCCGTGGAGGACACAGAAAGGAGGCTGGACAGATATGCAACACACAGTAATGGCTGTTTTCAATGATCACAGGATTAATGGTGATTCCTCTTCACCTCTCTCCCTTCATTTTTTGTTCCTCATGGTTTCTCATTTTTCTACATTGATTTCTATTGCTACTACAATTACAACATAAAATCACATACCTTAAATTATTTCCCCACTTAATTTGCTTCTTCTGTCTTTTATCTTTTATTTTTACTTTTCAATCCTCATCTGAGGATATGTTTTATTGTGTGTGTGTGTTTTAAGAGAGAGGAAAGGAAAGAGAGGGAGAGAAACACTGATGTGAGACACAAACATCAATTGGTTGCCTCCCATAGGCGCCCCGAGCAGGAATGAAACCCACAACCTAGTTACGTGCCCTGATCCGAGATTGAACCCACAACCTTTCGGTGCAAGGGTGGACACTCCAACCAACTGAGCTACCTGGCCAGGGCCTGAGTTGTTTCTTTAAAAACGGTCAGCTCCTCTTTCTAATCATCTTCTCTAGATCCTTGTCCAAGAACCCACCCCTATTCTGCCCACCTCTGGACTTTGTACTATATTGAGAATTTTTTAAATGTTCTAGAATTCAAAATTCTGGCAACCCTACATTCTTATGTATTTTACTTCAGTACATAATTTTAAAAATGAAGTTGACAGGAAAGTAAAAATTATTCTAAGTAACTTTGCACCGTTCACTGTTTCCAAAAATACTGAAATTCTGCTTTTCAATAATTCCAGGGAAGAAAATATAAAGCCAAAATGATTTTTTAATTCTAATACAATTAATAAGTAACAGGTATAGACTTCACCTCAGGTTGTCTACGAGAACTTTCTGTGATGTTGAAAATGTTCTGTATCTGCTTAATCAATACTAATTTGGACTAGTCACATGTGGTTATCGAGCACTTGAATAAAAAGTGACTCATGTACCTGAAGGGCTGAATTTTTTAATTTAATTCTAATTAATCTTAAATTCCCACAGGTGGTTAGTGGCTCTCATACTGAATAACATGGCACAGTCATGTGATATGATAGACTCTAATTTTTTTTCTTTTACCCCAGAAAAATTCACTGATATAGTTTGGCAATTTTTCCTGTGTGGTAACATTTTGGAATCCAACAGGAAAAGAGATAAGCAAACATGTGGCTTAATCATCAATAAGGCAAACAATCACCTATTACTAAACATCATGTATAGCCAAATCTATAAAATCTTATTTAACTAACCATGCCCCTTAGAAGATTCAACCATGTAAAAAAATAGTGTACTTAATTTTCGTCTCCTGAACAATATGAAGAGAGCAAAAGTGGAGGGAGTGGAAAGAAAGAAATTAGGAATATAGAAGTCTGGAGAGAAGGGGCAACATTTAAATTTAATTTCTTATGAAAAAATATGCAATGATTCAAAAGTAAGACCTTAATAAAAGAATAGCATCTTAAAAATAAATGGTTAATACTTGCAAGGGAGTCTGGTGCCAATAATCTAATTGCAGTACACATATCGTAGAAAGTGCTTTAAACAAGGCTTCAGTAACAAAAGCATAAATGAGGCTTAGCAAGTCCCAGTGCAAGCATTTGTGTTCAGGCTCTCAATGATGTGTGGAGTCCCTGAGACTGGGCAACCCACTCCTGGTTACTGGAATGATATTAAATAAACCAAGGCTGTAAAATCCGTTTCCTGTCTTCTACTGAGTACAAAATAGTACTAAAAATAACTATTCTGAAGTCTAAGTCTCTACTATGTTAATTAAAAGTATGCAATCCAGAACTGGCATGTACACACACACACACACACACACACACACACACACACACTCTCTCTCTCTCTCTCTCTCTCTCTCTCTCTCTCTCTCTCTCTCTCTCTCCCTCCCTCTCTCTCTCTCTCTCTCTCTCTCTCTCTCATCTATTGACCTCCTTTATTGAAAACATGGAGGGAAGGGAATTCTGAATATTAAAAGAAGATCCCTGGGACACAATGACAGAGCTGGAGATCACATACTATGTGGTGTAGGAATAAAAAATAAAGTATTGTAATGTCTGGGACCCTCATTAAAGACAACAATTTATTATTTCTCCAAAAGGAAAAACATAAAAATGAAACAAAAATTTGGCTGAAGAGAAAAAAGGAAAAATAAAGCCAAGGGGAAATTTGAACTTCGAAACAACAAACACAGTCAATGCAATAGCGCTAGTTCTATGTCCTTCTTTCCAATATTACACCAGTAATCTCTCTCTTTTGGCCAATTGTCTTGGCCAATAACACCAGGAAAAAAAATGTGATGGGACCACAGAGAGCGGGCACCCTTGTTTGTGCCTGCCCTCTGGCTTTGCATTGTCATATATACACTCATGTGAGATTAGGATGCACTCATTCTTAATTTGTCAAGAATTTTTTAAAAGAATGTTCAATTTCATGAAATGCTTTTCAGTATTTACAAATATTTTTATCTTATTTGACAGGTTATTATGGTAAATTCTATTTATACATTTCCAAATACTGACCCATCCTTGCCCCCCCCAAAAATGAAATTCACTTGGTTAAGATGTATAATTATTTTAATGTGCTGTGAAATTCCACTGGATTTAGAATTTCTGCAGCAATATCTCTAACTGAGGCTGGCATTTGTGGGGTTTTTGGGGGCAAGTTTGTTGTGTCTTTACTGGGTCTTGACATCAGTGTTAGTCATTTTGTTATTTTTATAACTATGAAAGCTATCATTTTTTAAAAAAATTCTAACCCAAGGAATATGTTTTCTTTTAATTGATTTTAGAGAGTTCTCTCTCTAAGGGAGTGAGAGAGAAAAACACTGATGTGAGAGAGAAATATCAATTGGTTGCCTCCAATACTCACCCTGACTGGGGATTGAACCCGCAACCCAGCTATGTGCCTTAACAAAGGATCAAACCCTCGGCCTTCTGGTGCATGGGACAATGCTCCAACTGAGCCACCCAGCCAGGGCTAAAAGTTATCTTTTTGTATGTTTTGAAAACATCTAAATACCTCTAGAATGATCTCTTCTTTAAATATTTTGTGGAATTTCCTTGAGAAGCCAGCTGGGTCTGACATATTTGGAGGGTGGCTTTATCTGCCAAATTTCTTGTTTCTTCTGGTTGGTTTACGACAATTTGTCCATTTAGGTTTTTCTACCTCTTCTAGTGTAAGTCACAGAAAATACTATTTCCTGGAAAATTACTTACTTTTATTTGGCTTTT